CGCGCCCCCGGGGTACCCACACGGGGAAAAAGCCACATCAGTGCTCAGAGTGCGGAAAGAGTTTCACTCAGACCTCCAGCCTGGGCAAGCATCAGCGTATCCACACAGGGGAGAAGCCACATCAGTGCTCGGAGTGTGGGAAGAGCTTCACTCAGGCCTCCAGCCTGGCTCTGCACAAGATTATCCACACAGGGGAGAAGCCATATTGGTGCTCAGAGTGTGGGAAGAGCTTCAATCACTCCGCCAACCTGGCTCGGCACCGGAGAATCCACATGGGGCAGAAGCCATATCAGTGCTCAGAGTGTGGGAAGAGCTTCAATCACTCCGCCAACCTGGCTCGGCACCGGAGAATCCACATGGGGCAGAAGCCATATCAGTGCTCAGAGTGTGGGAAGAGCTTCAATCACTCCGCCAACCTGGCTCGGCACCGGAGAATCCACATGGGGCAGAAGCCATATCAGTGCTCAGAGTGTGGGAAGAGCTTCAATCACTCCGCCAACCTGGCTCGGCACCGGAGAATCCACATGGGGCAGAAGCCATATCAGTGCTCAGAGTGTGGGAAGAGCTTTGCTAACTCCGTTAGGCTGGTTCAGCACCAGCATATCCACACTGGGGAGAAGCCATATTGGTGCTCAGAGTGTGGGAAGAGCTTCAGTCACTCCGCCAACTTGGCTCGGCACCGGCGTATCCACACAGGGGAGAAGCCACATCAGTGCTCACAGTGTGGGAAGAGCTTCTCTCAGTTCTCACACCTGGCTCAGCACCAGTTTATTCACATGAGGGAGAAGCCATAATAGTGCTCAGAGTGGGAAGAATTTCATCTAATGTTCCACCTGTCCCAGCACCACCATACCCACACAGAGGAGAAACCACATCTGTGCTCGGAGAGTGGGAAGTGCTTCCTCCACTCCTCCAAACTGGCCCAACACAAGTGTACCCCTGTGCAGGAATATCCATAATTCTGCCAGCAATACAGAAAGGTTTTGGGAATGTATACCGGCTCAGTACCCACCAATGTCTGCATCCAGAGATGCAGTCTCATATTGGTAGGCTCCAGCTACAGTTCACCCTTTGTTCAGCCTTTCTAGGGCACTGCAAAACCCAAAGGGCACAGAGGCTGGCCTCCCAGGTTTGATGCGGGTGAAGGGTTAAAAGGAAACATCTCGGGCAGAGGCCAGGACAGATACTGGGGGAACCTGTGAGGAGATTGTGGAAGAATACCATCTATGTCTCTCCCCATTTCTGAGGAAGGTGGGAAACCTGTGCTCTCTGCCTACATGGCTGGCATCACATACCTGGGTGGGGGGCTTAAGCTCCCTATTGTTCCAAGCAATACTAACATGACTGGGAGGGAGTTAGAGCCACTGGAAGTCCCTCCTCTTACCCCTAGAAGTAGTCCTTTGGGAAGGGGGCAACCAGTGATGCATTTCAAATTGGTTGGCTGGCAGCCAGCAGTTGCTGGCCTTCATTGGATCAGGTAAATGAGGTCGTAAGTTCTATATAAGTTATGGACTGCTTAGGAGAAGGGGCAGTAGCCATGATGAGAACTGAGAGAGAATCTGGACCATCTGAAACTCTCTTGAACCTAATGATCAATGAACTGCTTGCCTCCAGAGGGAATCTTCCCCTGCCTCTTTATGATACTTGTGAGTAAGCTACTTGAGAGCTACCTAGATATATAGCTTGCAGCAACACAATGGGCTCAAGTTTCATAGTTGGTAGCAAGGGAAGTTTTAAGTTGCACCAAGGGAAGTTTGGGTTTGATATTAGGAAGTGTTTTCTCTCTAGGAGTGTGGTAAATACTGGAACAGGTTACCCAGAGAGGTGGTGGAAGCTTCATCCTTGGAGGTTTTCAAAACCAGGCTAGACAAAGGTTTGACTGGGATGATCTAGTTGGGGATGGTCCTGCTTTGTTCATGGGGTTGGACTAGATGAACTCCTGAGCTCCCTTCCAATCCTAATTTTCTTTGACTCTAGAGATATGTCTGTTCTATATGTGATGGGCTAGCTGGCAGTGACTTAGCCCAGGGGTTTTGAAATGATCGGAGAACTTGGGATTCCCTTTTCTCACCAATCAGGCCCCAGAGACTCCCTCCATGTCCCCTTATTGGCCCCTTGGGTCACTTGGAGGGGGATAAAAGCGGTAGTGCGGCTGACTCAAGGGGGTTCAGCAAGGGACCAGAAGGAAGAAGTCTCAAAGAGCTGGCAAGAACTGGGCCAGCGGGGTGGGAGCAGTTGCCCCAGAAGCACCTGAAGGAGTGGGACCTGCAGATAGCAGTTGGACCCTCAGCAGCATGGGCTGGGGCCAGCAGGAGAGGCTCCCCAGTGAGCTCCAGGATCCCCTACAAAAGGCTGCAGCCAGCAGGAGAGGTTCTCCAGCTCCAGCAAGGATCTGAGAAGCGACCTGAGAGGTTCCCAGCTCTGCTTCCAGATCCTTCAATAAGAGGCCAGGCAGTGCGATGTGAGGCTCCAGGAAGGTCAAGACCACTAGCAGCTTGGCACACTACCAGCACTGGTGGGTGTGTGGTAGAGTTTCTGCCTACCACATGGGAGAGCCACATTCAAGTCCCAGCTAGTCTGACTTGGGATGAGTGAAGTAACAGGGATAAGTCTTTGTTGCAGTGGAAAAGGGTCACTGTGTTTTCCCCCTTTCTCCCCCTCCAGGTATCTAGGCCCTATATTCCTTGTTATTTGACATTTTGTTTTTTGTGCCTTTTTATATTTCACCAACCACTATGGTTTGTTGTGCTGTTTGTGTTTTATATTTTGTTAACCCTGTCTTTTATTCATAGATTCATAGATTGTCAAGTCAGAAGGGACCACAGTGGATCATCTTGTCCAACCCCCTGCCCCTGGCAGGAAAGAGGACCGAGGTCAGATGACCCCAGCCAGGTGTCTATTTAGCCTCCTCTTGAAGACCTCCAAGCTAGGTGATAGCACCACCTCTCTTGAAAGCCCATTCCAGATCCTGGCCACCCTTACTGTGAAAAATGTCTTCCTAATATCTAACCAAAATCTCCTCTCAACTAGTTTACACCTGTTATTCCTAGTCACTCCCTGGGGCGCCTTAGTAAACAGCGCGTCACCTATTCCCCGTTGACCTCCCCTATTAAATTTATAGGTGGCCACCAGATCTCCCCTCAGCCGTCTCTTGTGAAGGCTAAAGAGATTCAGCTCTCTCAGCCTCCCCCCGTAGGGTCTATCACGAAGGCCACTAATCATGTGAGTGGCCTCCTCTGGACCCTCTCCAGATTCTCTGCATCCCTCTTGAAGTGCGGTACCCAAAACTGGACACAGTACTCCAACTGCAGCCTGACCAGTGCTGCATAAAGGGGAGCATCACCTCCTTTGATCTATTAGTCATGCACGTGCTAATGCACGACAAGGTGTGATTGGCCTTGTTGATGGCCCCGTTACACTGCCGGCTCATGTTCCTCTTGGAGTCAGTTACGACTTTAAGATCCCTCTCTGCCTCCGAGCTGCTGAGAAGGACACTCCCCAACCTATAGGTGTGCTGGGGTTCCTCCTTCCCAGGTGGAGTACCTTACATTTATCTTTATTAAGATAAATCCTGTCCAAGTCAGCCTGAATCTGCTTCCTGCCCTCTGGTGTACTAACTTTGCCCCATGACTTGGTATCATCAGCGAACTTGGAGAGGGTGCTCTCCACTTCCTTGTCCAAATCGCTGATGAAGATATTGAATACTATTGGTCCGAGAACTGAACCCTGCAGGACCCCACTGGCCACCTCCCTCAGGCCGAGAAGGAACCATCCACCACCACTCTCTGGGTGCGGTCCCTAACCCAGTTGCCCACCCACCTGGCCGTGTAGGCGTCCACTTCACAGTCTGCTAGCTTCCCAATGAGGATAGGGTGCGAAACTGTGTCAAAGGCCTTCCTAAAGTCCAGGAAGATGACATCAGCCTCGGCTCCCACGTCCAGGCAGTGTGTGACCTGGTCATAGAGGGCTACAAGGTTTGTCAGGCAGGATCTACCTGTGACAAACCCGTGCTGGTTTCCCCTCAGCATCGTTTCCCCTGCTGGGCCTGCACAAATGTGTTCTTTGATTCAAATGTGCACAAATGTGTTCTCTAGCATTTTCTCAGGGATAGAGGTAAGACCGACTAGTCTAAAGTTACCCGGCTCATCCCTTCTCCCTTTCTTGAAAATGGGCACCATATTGGCCCTTCTCCATTTCTCAGGAACCTCGCCGGAGCACCACGAGTGCTCGAACAGCTGTGCCAGCGGCTCAGGTATGATGCTGGCCAATTCTTTCAGCAGCTGTGGATGGAGGTCATCCAGGCCTGCTGACTTGTACCCATCCAGCTCCTCCAGGAGCTCCTTAACTATTTCAGAACTAACCGTAGGCGGACTGGTGCCACGTGGACATCCGTCAATGATCTAGGTGGGGGAATTGGCTTGTCGGTACTTAGAAATACTGAAGCAAAGAACGCATAGATTCATAGCTGTTAGGGTCGGAAGGGACCCCCTGCATAGGCAGGAAAGAATGCTGGGTCTAGATGACCCCAGCTAGATAGATATCCAACCTCCTCTTGCAGACCCCCAG